TCTCATCTATCTCATCTATCCACCTATCCCATCCATATCTATCTATCTATCTATCTATCTATCTATCTATCTATCTATCTATCTATCTATCCCATTTATCTATCCATCCATCCATCTATCTCATCCATCTATCTCATCCATCCATCCATATCCATTTGTCTATTTATCTATCTCAACCATCTATCTCATCTATCCACCTATCCCATCCATCCATCCATATCTATCTATCTATCTATCTATCTATCTATCTATCTATCTATCTATCTATCTATCTATCTATCTATCTATATACATATCCCATTAATCTATCCATTCATCCATCTATCTCATCCATCTATCTCATCCATCCATCCATATCCATTTGTCTATTTATCTATCTCAACCATCTATCTCATCTATCCACCTATCCCATCCATCCATCCATCCATATCTATCTATCTATCTATCTATCTATCTATCTATCTATCTATCTATCTATCTATCTATCCATTCAAGGGATATATTCCTCCATCCATTTTCAGCCTCCTTGCTGATCTACTTTTCAATCTGGAAAGATCCCTTAGAGATGTTCCTTCTAGGTATTTTCTCAACAGGAAAGTCCAAAACCAAGACGGCTGCTGAAGATATTTTTCTGCAATGAATGATGGGATATCCAGACCTGGCTCACGACATGCGTAAAACAACTGCTGAGTGCCATTTTCCACCCTGAGAACGGCCTCAAAATATCCATGGGGAGCATCAGAGAAGGCCACCAAAGAAATGTTGGGCGCAGCAAATACCAGGGCTTCCACCCTGCAGACAATTAATATTCATAAAATGGTTGTGTCTGGGTATCTTGCCTGAGATCTAATTTTTCCGTTTGCCGGGGAAGACTTGTGTCAAGGAAGCCAGCTTCCTAAATGAGATGCCATCAGGGGTGAGTCAGTCTAGACAGGGATTGCTCCTGAGGGGGAGAAAGAGATTTGGTCCTTCCAGTACAAACACAGACTTCGAGGCAACCTCAGCATCCCTGGATCGTGACTCAACATTCGGGACATCCCGCTCCAAATCCCTGTCTGCCAAATCAAAGAGACGTTATGGTGGAAACCAAGAGATGACGTTGGGAAGGCGATGGCTGGAGGGCTGGGTCTTGCCCAGAAGACACAGCTTCAGCTTTCCTGGAAGTTATTAACACTGTGGGTGGCCATAGGGCAGAGGGGGAAATTCACACGCTTCTTTGTTGGAGCAGACAAGTTGATGTTGGAACTGCATCAACCTCCTGAGGAATACCTCCCTACTTTTGCCCTAGTTTGGAGAGAAGAAGGAAGCCTGGGCAGGAAGGGTGAGCAGGAGAAGCCACAAAATGACATCTTTTTCCAAACAGGTATATGACAATAGCATTTAGACTTATATACCGCTTCACAGTGCTTTTGCAGCCCTCTCTAAGCGGTTTACAGAGTCAGCCTCTTGCCCCCAACAATCTGGGTCCTCATTTTACTCACCTCAGAAGGATGGAAGGCTGAGCCAACCTTCAGCCTGGTGAGAATTGAACTCCTGGCTGTGGGCAGAGTTGGTCAGCAATACTACATTGTAATCACTGCGCCAGAGAGGGAGAGAGGGAGAGGGAGGGAGGGAGGGAGGGAGGGAGGGAGAGAGACAGACAGACAGACAGACAGACAGACAGAGACAGAGACAAGAATAAAGGCAGATAGAGAGATTGACAGTGATAGATAGATAGATATTGTAGATATCATAATATTTTACAGCCCTCTCTAAGCAGATTACAGAGTCAGCATTTTGCCCCCAACAATCTGGATCCTCATTTTATCCACCTCGGAGGGATGGAAGGCTGAGTCAACCTTGAGCCTGGTGAGATTTGAACTCCTGGCTGTGGGCAGAGTTAGTCAGCAATACTACATTCTAACCACTGCGCCAGAGAGGGAGAGAGGGAGAGAGAGGGAGGGAGAGACAGACAGACAGACAGACAGACAGACAGAGACAAGAATAAT